GTGAAGGGCTTACACAAGTACAAAGGATCAAGCTCTCAATTTAGTGAGTTCTTGTGAATGATTTAACACAAATGGCATTAGGCAATATTGTGGGGGAATGACCCCTATTTATAGAAAAACTTGTAGCTTTGTCACATTGACATGTGTCATGTTATGATTGGTTCTTGATGTCGACACGTGCTGCGCTCTGATTGGCTTCTAATCTTGACACGTGTCGAGTAGTGATTGGCCTCCTGGTCGGAGGGGAACTCTTCTGGATCCTTGACAGTATAGCGTTGGCCGGTGCTCGGTAGTTTCGGGATTGGTCAAGTATGGTACAAACACAAAGCAAAGTCATTTATTCTAGGAAGTTAACTCTAAGACATCAATACATGATTTACATCCCTACAATCAAGGAACTAAATATCCTAAATGATATTGTCGTCTAATACTCCCCCTTAAGGTGGAGTGTGAATGTCAAGAACACCCATCTTGCCAAGAAGAGATTGAAACTCAGCTTGCCCTAATGGTTTGGTAAAAATGTTGGCTAGTTGCTGTCTAGTAGGGATATAGGTAGTCGTAATAACCCCAGATTGAATCTGTTCACGAACAACATGACAATCGATTTCTATATGCTTATTACGCTCATGAAAAACCGGGTTAGCTGCTATATGAAGGGCATCTTGATTATCACAGTATAATTTGGCCGGTCCATGATGATCCACACGTAAGTCAGCTAATAAAACCTTCATCCATGTAAGTTCACATGTGGCTAAGGCCATGGCACGATCCTCAGCTTCGATCGAGGATCTTGAGACAGTAGACTGTTTCTTGGTTTTCCACGACATTAGTACACCTCCGAGGAATATGCAATAACCCGTAACGGATCTTCGTGTGATTGGGCATCGAGCCCAGTTAGCATCATAATAACCTATCAATATTAAACTTCCATTTGAGGGAAAAAGAAGGCCTTGTCTAGGCGCCCCCTTCAAATAACGCAAAAGACGGTGAACCGCATCGAGATAAGGCTTTCTCGGTTGTTGCATAAACTGACTGAGGATATGAACTGAATACGAAATCTCTGGTCTGGTGATTGTGAGATAAATAAGTTTCCTAACAAGTCTTCTATATTGCGAAGCATTGTGAAGAAGCGGTCCTTCCGTTGGAGATAGTTTCAAGTTTTCTTCCATGGGAAATTTTGTAGGTTTTGCACCCAGTAAGCCGGCCTCATCAAGAATGTCAAGTGTATATTTTCGTTGGGAGACTGAAATCCCTTGAGAGGGACCGAGCTACCTCTACGCCAAGGAAATATTTTTAAGTGTCCAAGGTCCTTAGGTCATTGATTCGAAAATGGGTGTGAAGAAAATGCTTAAGATCGTGGATGGCCACCTCATCGTTACCTGTGATGATCATGTCATCGACATTAATGAGTACAGCGGTAAATGAGTGTCCACGCACCTTAGTAAATAGAGAGTAATCCACCTTGGACTGTTGGTAGCAGGCTTGGTGGGTGGTAGTGGAAAATTTGTGGAACCAAGTGCGTGAAGCTTGCTTGAGTCCGTATAGGGATTTGTTGAGTCGACAAACATTGTTCTCCCCCTGTCGACAAAGACCAGGAGGCAAGTGCATATAGACTTCTTCACAGAGGTCACAATGAAGAAAGGCATTTTGGACGTCTAGTTGATGAATGGACCAATTGCGTACGAAGGCAATAACGAGGAAGCAATGCATTGTGATTAATTTTGCAATGGGAACGAAGGTTTCTTTGTAATTGATACCTTCCCGCTGTGTAAAACCTTTGGCAACGAGGTGAGCTTTGTAGCGCTCAACAGTACCATCAGAGTTGTACTTGATCTTCTAGACCCATTTGTAACCCATGGCGCGATGATCGGGAGGAAGGCGAGTGAGTGTCCATGTGTTTTGTTGGTCAAGAGCAAGAAGTTCAGCGTCCATTGCAGCCCTCCAGTTGGGATCACTATGAGTCTGCTCAAAGGATATAGGCTCGACAGTAATGGTAATAGCACAAGCAAAGGAGCGATGCGAAGGAGAGATGTGAGCATAAGAAACATAGTGAGATAAAGGATAACGAGTACCTGACATGGAAGAGGATGAGGCGCTAGGGTGTTGGACATGATATAAATGGTACCCTTGAAGCCGTACAGAAGGCTTGGAGACGCGTCCAGAATGGCGAGGAGGAGGTGGTGGATGAGTTGTGTTTGGGTCAGTTGAGGGTGTATCGGTGGGGGAAGGATGGGTGTGGGAAGAGATGTCGTGGGAGGGAGATTGAGGTGAGGAAGGGGTAGAGTTATTTGTAGATTGTGGCATGGGTGTTGGTAGGAAGATAGGACTCACGGGTGGTGATGGAATAGGCGTGAAGAGTGGAGGTAGTATTATGGGATAAAGGTACAGGGTGTTGGGTTGAGGGATGGTCATGAGGTGTAAAGGTGTCTTGAGTAATAGAGGGGTCAGGTTGGTGGGGTAGGGGTAATACTAAAGTATCAAGTTGATGATCAGGTTGGTGAGTAATATAGGGAAAAGTGGTTTCATGAAAAACAACATCACGGGATGAAAAGAATTTATGAGTGGCGAGATCATAAACACGGTAACCTTTTTTACCTAAAGGATAACCAACAAAGATGCACCGTTTGGCACGTTGATCAAATTTGTGAGTGGGGTGGAGATTTGTGGCATAACATAAACAACCAAAGACTCATATGTGGGAAAAATCTGGAAGATGGTGATGTAAAAGTTCATATGGTGTTTTGTGAGAAATGAGTGGTGTAGGTAAACGATTAATTAAGTAACAGGCAGTTTGTATGCTTTCCCCCTAAAACATCAATGGCAAATTTGCTTGGAAACTGAGTGCTCGACCGACATTCAAGAGATGACAGTGTTTCCGCTCAACAAACCCATTTTGTTGGGGTGTTGACGAACAAGAAGTCTGAAAAATAATGCCTTTGCTAGAAAGAAAAGAACACAATGAAGTGAATTCACCTCCATTGTCAGCCCGTATCGTTTTGATCATATAATTAAATTGTGTGTGCACCCAAGCAATGAACGAACGTAACAACCCTTGTGTTTCATATTTAAAATACATAAGATGATCCAAGTGTAACGAGAATAATCATCAACAATGGTTAAAAAATATCGAGCCCCCGAATGGGAATTGACTCGATGAGGTTCCCAAATGTCACAATGTGTCAAATCAAAAGGTGCGGTAAAAGAAATAAAACTTGACGGAAAAGATAAACGGGTTTGTTTTGCAAGGGGACAAACATCACATGAATGACTGGAATCAACCATGATCGTTGGAACTTGCTTGTTTAAAACTTGAAAAGGAAGAATGGAGGGATGACCTAAACGTTGGTCCCAAAGGTTGGAATGACGGCTAACATTGTGGATGAGGCTAGGGTTTTGTTCTGGCGCCAAGTAATAGAGTCCATTATATCGCTTGCCCAGGCCAATGGTCCTCCTCGTATCCATGTCCTGTATCATACAAAAATCCGGAAAGAAAATCACTATGCATCTTAGTGCCTCAGTAAGCTTGCTCATAGATAACAAATAAACCCGAAAATTGGGTACATGTAGCACATCATCAAGTTTAATATGAGGGTTAACTCGTATGGAACCAATGGTTTCAATGGTCACTGCCCTCCATTGGGCATCTGAATGGACTTGAACATGGACAAGGATTTCTTGTTAAGCAAGTGTGATAAGGGAGATATGTGATTTGTTGCCCCGCTATCAATAATCCAATATAATATTTTCTGTGAAGAAACTGCTGACATATTTGAGGAAGGTGTGATTATACCTGTAGCATTTGCATAGTGTTGTGTATTACCATCGAGATTGGTCTTCTTAAACATCACCATTAGTTGATTGTATTCCTCCGTGGTAAATTTTGGACCATCACTAGTTGTTGCCTTGTGTCGTGGTTCAACACCTTTGATGGCTTCGGCTTCCCCCTTAACTTGGTTGGCAGTAGGCTTCCTCTTGTTGGGAAGTTTCATGGATTTCCCATGGTATTTGTGGCCAGGTGGAAAACCATTCAAGTAAAAACACTTGTCCATAGTGTGATATTTCTGATCACAATACGTACACTGAAAGGGTGTGTTTCCCTTGGATGTCTGAAAAGCTTACACCGCAGGTTCCCTGTTATTGGTTACGTTCATGGCATGTAGATTAACATTATTACGATTGAGAGAAACCTCCACTTGTTTCTCTTGTTGAAGGACAAGAGAGTATGTATTTCGAGTGTCGGGAAGTGGCTGCATCAGTAGTATTTTCCCACATACTGCGGCATATGACTCGTTTAATCCCATAAGGAATTGCATCACTCTTTCTTTCTAATCTCGGTCGCTGATCTTCTTCAATCCTTCGCAGGTGCAGGTCGGGGGTTCATGATAGGACGACAATTCATCCCATAGTGCCTTCAACTTGGTATAGTAGGTCAAGATAGATTGTTGTTCTTGCATGTGTTTAACAATGTCTCTTTTGATCTGATAGATGCATGTATCGTTTCCTTGTGAGAAGCGATCTTGCAAGTCCGCCCATACATCTGCTGCTGAGGTGTAATACGAAACGCTACTCGCTGATATCGTCGTGTACAGAGTTTAAGATCCAAGCAAGGACCATGTCATTGCATCTTTGCCATGATGCAAACTGTTTATCAGTTTCTAGTGGAGGATCGATGGTGTCATCAACCAATCCAAGTTTGTTTTTGGTGCTCAAGCTGATTCGCATTGCACGACTCCAGGTATTGTAGTTGCTCCTTGAAGTGTTTTCGAAACTAAGATGTTCCCAGGTTGATCGGAGGAGTGTAAAGAAAAGGGGTTTGAGATATCAATGGACATCTCTGTTGGTTTTTGGTTTGCTGTTGGTTCTCCCATGGTGGGGATTGTTGTGTTTAGTTGATGTTGTGGAAGCGGCTGGGTATTCAGAGTCACCAGAAACGGTGCTCTGATACCATGTTAAAATATGGAATGGCTAGGGTTTGTAGAATGCTAGGGCTATATTGTTGATACTGGGGAATACTTGATATATTTTCTTATTAACATAATCTGTACAGAGATACAAGATTTATACAAAGCAAAGTCATCTATTCTAGGAAGTCAACTCTAAGACATCAATACATGATTTACACCCCTACAATCAAGGAACTAAATATCCTAAATGATATTGCCGTCTAATAGGCATCACATCCTTCAGTAGAGTCACACTCATCAACGACCCTTGCCACCACACTCCTCCCATTAGCACTTATGGATGTTGTTGAGGCATCTTCCTCCATTGTTATACCATTCAGTGGACAATGCCACAACAGGGATGCTGTCATTGTGGTATTTGTTGTCACATTCTGATGGACCGCCGCCATCTCCACCTTTCTCAAAACTGTTAAGAGTGAGGTAGGCCTTGGTGCTCCCGGACAATGGTGGTGAACATGTATATGTTGGGTACATTTTGCCTCCTATAAAACAGTCAGAGTCATTCTCCTGGTTGCATTGTCCAGGAGGGGGCTTCCTTCCTCTAATTCTGCTGCTTGGACGACATTGCTTAGCTTCAGTGACCAAGCAAATTGTTGAAAGGAGAATGATTTGAAGGACAAGTGAACCATTTGAGAAAATTGCTAAGTTCTTCATTTTCTGAATGTTTCTATGAATTGGGATGTGATTGATGCCTAAAAGCAATTGAGGGTGGCATATATATATGTAGCTATATACCTAGACAAAATAACAATCAACATTCAACAAATATTGTTCATCTTTTCTTTCTACTTTCTTTTTTAACATCTTAAGAAATCATTTTAAGAGAAATGGTTTTCTTATAGTATAGGAATCAACCAAGTTCATCTGGATAATTTCAAATTGGCAGCATAATGGTAAAACAAAAATGATGCTTGTATGCGTTGCTATAATAAGCCACTTTTGGAGATTTTTTATTAAAATTAGTAAAACCTTAATTTAGATTTTTTTAAACTATTATGGGGAAGATTCAAAACTATTACAATAATTTAGGAGAGAGAGACCTTGAACTCAGGATGCATGGATGGAACCGAACACCTTATCTACTAAGATATTGGACTACATGCTTAATTTATATTTTACATTCATCTCTTTTTAAACTTATTGTAATAAGAAGGTAAGTATGCCTTGACATGAAAAAAAGAAAAACCAAACAGACAGCTGCTTGAAGGTATGAGACAAGACCTAGATAACAAATTAAAACAAAACAGACGTAGAGTGGTATGTATATGATTATGTAATATTACTTTATGATTTACAGTAGACTAAGTATAAGAAAAAGAAGTTTAAATATATTGACTTCTTAAATAATATAGTACTGGTAACATATTATAGAGCGCAATCCACAACGACAATATTCGTGAAGCAACAAGCAAGATGGAAACTAATGTAACTAAGCGTTGGACCAAGTGATATCTAGGCCACCCCTTTGGTTTTGAGGCACACCCAAGAATGTTGTTAGGACAAGGAGCCTGGTAATCATGATCTACATCACATCCCTCAGTCGAGTCACATTCATCCACCACCATCGCCACCACGCTACGTCCGTTACCATTAATTCTGATGTGTTCATGGCACCTACCTCCATTGCTAGGCCATCCAGTCGATAATGCCACAACTGGAGTGTTGTCATTGTGGTATTGGTTGTCACATTCTGATGGACAGCCACCATCTCCTTCTTTTTTTTTCTTTCTCAGAACTGTTAAGAATGAGGTAGGGGTGGTCCATCAGAATGTGACAACCAATACCACAATGACAATATCCCAGTTGTGGCATTATCCACTGGATGGTTTAACAATGGAGGAAGGTGCCTCAACAACATTACTATAAGTGCTAATGGAGGAGTGTGGTTGCTACGGTCGTTGATGAATGCGACTCTACAGAGGGAAGTGATGCAGACCATGATTAATTGATTATCAACCGCATTGCCCTAACAACATTGTTGATGCATCAAAGGCTGTCTGGGAGGCCTTGGGTGTGCCTCAAAACAATTGGGGTGACCAAGATATTACATAGTCCGATGCTTAGTTACATATACACTAACGTGATCCTTCTGGCTAGCTTGTTGATTTTATGTTCCCTTTATGTAAAATGTGATATAATATATTAGAGCTATTGAAGTTTAATAAAGTTGTCGTGACTCATGATTTCATTTAAAATCCAAGTGATGAGAGTGCATTTATCTAAAAGTTTTTTGGGGCAATTTCATTATATTATTCCTCTATGTCTATGACATCTTACTGGCCAGAGAAGACCTTGAAGAGTATGCATTTTTCAATTCCTGTTTTTGATTCACTCCAACAGCGATATGTTTAAACTTCAAACAGGAAGCAGCCAATTTTAGTATACATAAAATACGCCAATTTTAAGATTAAGCCTAGAACCGCAAGTTAGTCATACTGCGTATAATTTTAACTTGCGAATCAAATATTTGCACTCACAGACTGCAGGCCGTGACAGCAATCTCGGTGAGTTTTAACATAGTACGATCTTTCGAACATTGTGGTCTTGCCAGCTAATGTTGTTTCCCAACTCTTGTTTTCCTCATACTTTTTCAAACGTTCTCAAACGTTTTCAGACTTCATCCGAAAATATTTGAGAGGCGACTATGCAACTTAAAGGGTGTGTGGCTTCATCCTTTCCTCATATTTTTTTTATAGGGTGAATTATCAATTTAGTCCTTAAATTCTCACCTAGTGAAAATTTGCTCCCTAAACTATTTTTTTTAAAGAAAAATCAGTCATTAAATTATAAAAAATAAAAAAATAAAAAACTACCAATTACATCCCAAATATTAGATTCGAAGCTACTATATTCAATTTTTCGTCAATTTAAGTCACGTTACTTGCATGTGATACACATTGAAGAGTAGATTGGTAATTATATCATAAAGAAATAGTGTATGGAATTAACTTTGAAGGGTAAACTAGATGTTAGATTTGCAACCTATATGAAATATTAAGAGCTTATAGGAGAAAAAGACGGTATTACACTATGGAATGTGTGAAGTGATTTTAGTTGACGAAAAATTGAATAAAATAGTTAGAACGAAATTAGCAATTTTTAATGAATTTAGGAACTTATTTTACCGAAAAATAATTCAAGGACCTAATTTTCACTGAGACAAAGGTTTATGAACTAAATCGGTACTTCACCCTTTTTTATATGTTCTTAAACGTTCTCAAACTACGTCTGAAAAAGATTACTTAAATCCGAAATTTGCTCTCCATAGTCCATCTTTCCAATAATTATCATACCGGAAAGCCCAAACCCAAAGTTCAAGCCCAAATTTGCTCTCTATAGTTTATCTTTCCAATCACTTGATAAAAAGTGTAATAAAGTATGAGAAACTTTTGGTGTGAGTAATGTGATACAATAAGATAGAATGAGATTTCTATTAAAAAAACTCCAACAAAGAGGACAGTGGACCCTTTTGAGAAAAATACTGAGCTTGTCATATGCCTTCCTTTACTACTTGGGCTCTTATGTGGGGTATACTTGAGAAAACACTTGTGGATGGGGTGTGTATATGTATATATATATATATATATATATATATCTTGTGGGTGGGGTGTGTATATGTGTGTGTATATATATATATATACATATATATACTAGCCTCCCTGCACGCGCTCATGCGTGTGCGGAAGACCCTTTTATAATTACGGCGTTTGAGGAGCAACTTATACAATTTAAATGTATTTATCTACGTGGATTTGAAAAGTGAATTAAACATTAAAAGAATGAATGTAACCTTATCATACATTTGATGGAAGCAAAATATCTTTGTACACAACATTTCTTGTGAAGACTCCCATAAATTAACAAACACATAAAATACACAGGAAAACAACATAACACACTAATTATGAACAAACCACCAAAATTAGGACTTCAATTTAAACACGATTAAAAAGCCAATTGCTGTTTAGCTCACCAACCCCATTGAATGAAAACAAATTCAATCAGAAAACAAAATATATTAATGCCACACATGTACAAAATGTTGGTGGGGATGAGCAATACCTTATCATGGCCATGTATAACTTAATCAAAGCAACGTGAGAATTCCTGCAAAATTAAAAGAAAAGCATGTAAAGAAAAAAGAAATCAAAATTTTTTAGTACTTCATCTCAAAAGCCAGAAATTCATCTATTGCCACAATGGCAGCACCAATTTCCATTGATATAATTAAACAGTATACATAAACAAAGAAATCATCTTTACATCTTGCAGATCAACTTTCATAAAATACATCAATTGTTCATCTAACAAATAAAAAATAAAGTTGAAATCTTTTCCAAGCAGATGCTACACATACGAAATTCTTTGAGCCGCACAATGTTGCTCAATATATCATGGAGTATTAATCAGTCAGATAACCACAATCAAGGCAACACCAATAAAAACAAAAGCAAAAATTCCATGCTTAAAGTAGAAAAAGTTCACTTCTGTTGTAACGAATCGACATTAGAATCAAGCAACCAATTTATAAAATACGAATTTAAAATGTAACTATTTAATGTGTCTAATGAACCTGTGAAATCAAATAGTTAAACCCTAAACCCTAAAAAGCTACTAATATCAGTAAAAAAAACCAAAAAATAAAAATAAAAAAATGTTTCCAACGTATGAAGAAAAGTATGATGCTTCAGTGCAGCAGCAGAGTTGGAAGTCAGAGTCCTATGATTGGTGGCATATTATCTTTGAATTTTGATTCTTTCAATTGATCAGATTCAAGATTTCGAAACCAAATTGGACCCCTCCTTCCCCTTTAATTACAGAATATGCCCCTAAAAACTCAATAAATTAGAAACAAACTAAAACCTGGGATTGGTGAAGTCCGTACCTTGGAAAGTGCTTAACGAATGCTGCCAGATTACTTCTCTGAAGAGGTGACTTTCTTCAAAGATTACTCAATATCAATAGTGTCTCCATCTGTGGGATGAAATAGCAACTGCTAACCCAAGCCCATGTACAGCTTCTTTGGCTCTTAAAAAACAATTGCTACATCTATAGTTTATCAAATTAAGATGTAACACAATTAAAAAAAAAACATGAAATCATAAATATAGCTTCGATATCTTAGAGAAGCCTAAACCAAAAGGTGAAAAAACAAACTTTCGATAAAAAAAAAGTTAACAATAACTGAAGACTCCGAAAATTGAGTCCCTTTTCAGAATTGTTGTAATAAAAAAAGGTCGTACCCAGTGCACAAGGCTCCCGCTTTACGCAGGGTCTGGGAGAGGTGAATGTCGGCTAGCCTTACCCCCATTTATGGAGAAGCTGCTCCCAAGTCTCGAACCCGAGACCTACCGCTCATGGGCGAAGGCACTTGCCATCACACCAAGTGCGACCTCTTAGAATTGTTGTAATAAAAAAAATAAAAAAAATAAATGGCAACTATAAATAGAAATAAGTTATTACAATTGAACCAACCTGTGCTACTGCTGACCCATCAGCAGATGCAACCGCCCCTACATTAAAGCAGGAACAAGTTCGATTCACATGGCTGAATAAACTTGAGGGTTGCATAAATGAAGTTATTACTAAATAAGGAATAGAGAATCCATGATATTGACTCTAATGTAGGCTTTAACTAACCAAGGGCTGAAGAAGTCTCTCTAGCTTCGAGTAGTGACTTGCCATCAGGGAGTGCAAAATCACAAACTGTGATCACAACAGGTGAATTGAGATCACCTTCAAAAGTTCGCAATGGAATAACGTAAATGACAAATAAACTGATTCAATATATTCTTAAAAAAAGACCCTAAAAACATCCTTAATTGAACCCACAAAATACAATTAATCTAGTAGTTTAATCCAAGAAAAAAATTTCTTCAAATCAGAACGGGAGGCAAGCTTTCTGGTATTAAATTTCTTTCAATCAGAATGGAATTCAGCTTGGATTTTCTCAAGAATTCCACGAAAGATATATACATTTGGTGATAATCGTACACGAGATTCATACAATATTTTCATATCTTGCATAAAAATTAGAAATTAAAAAAAATAGAAAAAAAAAAGTAGCTTCTGCCGCTGCTCTTGAAAAGCCAAAAAAATTAGATCCTATATACTTATTATATGCAGATTATTTGCTTGTAGCTAAAGAACAGAACCAACACAAACATGCAAATAAAAAAATTCATGAAATGTATTTCTACTAATCTATAATTCCGATTTGAATTCGAATTCACAGGAAACAAATACATAAATCCATGAAAAAAATTAGCCATATGTAAAAAGAAATAAAGTGTAAAGTAGATGATTTCATCAGAGAGCTTACCTCTGCAATCGTCTTTAAGAAATCAAGCATGGTCCTGCAAGCAGCCACAAAAATCGACCACGCAAAAAAACAAACTAAAATACCAAAAGCAGCATTTAACATAAAAGCCAAATTCTGGCAACACAATTTTTCTCTACTAAACTCACATTTTCCTGAATCTAGTTCAAACGATCATCATTTAGCTTCAATACTACTGCATTTTGTCAAGGACAATGGTCCCTGCTTGGGCAGATCCAGAAAATGGTTTGATTGACTCATTTTCAAAACAAACAAATTTAAATAGGCATTTCAGGAAAGACATAAGGTAACATGATTGGTTCTTTGTACTTTATAAAATCTTCATGCATATGTTGTTTGCTTCTTTCTACAATTTTGATAATAATCTACATTACTCGGGTGAAACTCAAAACATTCAATTATCACCTCACAATATCCTTGACAAAGAGCATATATTTGGCAAACTGCTGAACATTTAATTGCTGGTCAATTAGAAGAGGTATGAGCAGCGGGAGCACATGCTCTGCAACAAATTCTACCCCATGCTGAAAATCATGAAGCAAAGACAATGAATTATATCTTGGAGAACAGTCTGCTAATGCTGAGGATATATCAAGGAAGAGATCGTTGGTGGTCCAAGTTGACCAATAGCGATCTCTTGCACCGGCCTTCGGACATAGTTTCCAGCAAACCTTAACGGCGGCCGGAGAACCACAGAACCAAGAGTAAAAAAGGGAGTGCGGGAAGCAGCCAAAATACAGAGAAGATGGCAAGAGAGAGGAGAAATGGAAAGCATACGAAAAAAAGCAACATGGGTACTGGCTAATCTCCCAAACCCCACTTCTGCTAAAGCTACATGCCATTGATTATGATTAAAAACTAAATTAATCAGATCAATAATCGCTGATAAATAATGGGTTATGTTTCTTTTCATGAATTCGGGCTCAAAATACGAACTGTAAATCCAAATTTTTGAAATTTAATTGCTTTATCTCCTTACCCGATAAAACCTCCTCCTTTGGACCTCAGAAACAGCAGAAAATACTGAACTAGAAAACCCCTTTCAAAAACCCTAACCCTAAATTGCCTACAACTCCGAAACTGAAAGATTTGATGTTTTGTGGTGGTGGAGGTTGGGGCTATGAGTTGAAGCAGCGGAGGAGAGAGCGACAGAAGCAGAGGTTTGTGAGAGAAAAGTCGAAACGGAAAGGGGCAGGGCATTATTTAAAAATATATTTACAAAAGTACCCTTATCGAAGCGGATGACACCAAGCTGAGCCTAGGAGTGTTTTGGTCCAATTACTTTTGTCGAAGCGGATGACACCAAACTGAGCCTCCAGCTTTAGATAGAGTAAACCGCCAATTTACTTCTTGAATTATCACTCAACTCTCAATTTTTCTTTGAACCTTTTAATTGGAAATTAAGGACTTAATTTAATTTTTTTGGCTGATTTGCCCCCTACCATTACATTATGTTTGGATGAAGAAATTTAAGATTATTAAGGAATTTTAAAATGACGGAAATTGAAATGAAGGGATTTTATTTTCTAGAATTTGTGAATTTTGTTGTTTGTTTAACTTAAAAGAACAATAGAATTGAAAACGGAATTTGTTAATTTTAAATTCCCAATCATAGAAATTGAGAAATGACACATATGTACATGGAATTTAAACTTGGAAATTGGAGGTCCCAAATTCCAAGTTTTTTTTCCACGCGGAAATTCTAAATTTCTATGTTATTAATCTAAACAAGGGAATTGGTGCATGTCAATTTATAAATTCTGACTTTTATCCAAATTCCAAGTTTATTTCCCTCATCCAAACAGTGTATTAGTTTTTCATAGATTTCATCCAAATTAACGTTAACTCTTATCATAAGCAAACCACGTAACTCTCATTTGTGGATAAAAGCGTCACTTCACTAAACGTTTAGACACATAAGCTATAGAATCACACATATTTGCATAGGTTTATATTTTAGAAATCCAAGGTTTTCGATTATTTTAAAGAATGAAACGACCGAACTACTCACACATGTTGTGCACATGCTTCCATTTAATAGAATTTTGGATGAAATGAATGAAAAATTAACAGCATGGGGCAACTCATCCAAAAAAATTAGTTTAAGTCCTTAATTTTCCAATTAAAGAGTTCAGGGGAGAAATCGAAAGTTGGGTGATAGTTCAGGGGGCAAATTGACAATTTACTCATAAAAGATAACCACGTTCTCTTGTTTATGTTAGCAGATGACAAAATGGCATCATGAAGAAAGTGTAAGGGTTTTAAGACTTTTGGTGTCCCACATCGGGAAACACTAAAGGTTCATTGCCCTTTATATAGATTTAGTGCTTTGGTCCAGTAATTAGAACATGGACCATTTGGAAATGGATTGAAGGTTTGGGCCTTATGGTTGTGTGGATTAGGCTTGTAAAATATAGCCTAAACGCAATTAATATTAATTAATCAAGACAAGGGCCTTGGGGCACTTGGAGCCTTGAAATTTAAAATTAATCTGATTCATTAATTTTAATTTTCAGATTAAGTTTTTAATTAATTTATTAATTAAAAACGTTTTGATTAAAAGACACAGCTCTTAGAAAGAGTTGTGTACTTTCAAATACACTGAACATGTATTTGAGAGGGTGTGAAACAACCTATATATTCACAATCACAGTATCCTAGTTAGATCATCCTTTCTTCCTCTTTTTCTTCCGTACAAAATTTCCAGAGAATAAGCACACAAAGCAAATTCACTAGAATTCTAGAACTCAGTGCGGGTTGTAGAATTAGGTAGTTGAATCCTAGTCGAGCAGACGTTGTAGAACCACAAGCAGAAGAGTGGGACGGAAATACTGTTCGAAGGACATAGCTTTTACGTTAGCCTCTACCTTCTGTAATCAAGTTAGTACCATTGATATTCTTATATTAATTTCTATATTTATTGTGTAATTTCATTCTGCACAACAAGTATTTTGGTTAATAAAATATTAGAATTTCAAGTTTTGTTTATTTCTGAATTGTTCTCCAATAGAAAGCTAATACTTGGTATATCTTTGCCAACTCCTGCTTTTGCTATCTCTGGTTTGGTAACTGTTTTAATAATAAAATTTTAATAAAATAAATAAACAAAGATTAATGTAACTGAATATGCTGGTCTTGTAAGTTTTCAAATTTTGGTTCAATTTAAAATAAAATATGAAACTCAAAAACTAAAACTTAAAAATTATAATGGTCATCAAACAGGTAAGTGATTTATTTTTAATATAGATCTGATGTATACAGATGGCTGAGTGGGTTGAAAACAAAATGATTGACAAAAATCAAAAGGAGTGGTCAATCTCTGATTTAGGCCCATGATACCTTTATGAAAAAGAACGACACCACGGTTCAAACCCAAGGAGGGGTCCATCACTTTTCGTTTGTCGTTTATTTTCCTAAGGACCTTGAGCTTCCCCAAGGGATTGTGATTAAGTTATTTAAGTCGTTGGCTTCTTAATATCATCTTTCAATCAATAATCAAAACAGCCTTTCAGTTTTCAGTTAGAATCTGGTGAACTTTAGAACTTGTTCTTCAAGGGCTTATGTTGGTATCCCTGTTAGTTTCTGTAAACACGGGAATTCCTGCAATAAACGAGACAAGAACACGTGTACAAAATAATATTTGTATTAATGATTTAGGGGTTACAATCTCTTCTACAAATTCATCCTCTGATTTTATCTTTGAAACGTGTAGATGTAGTGTTGTTGATCCAAGGGCCGTCGGGGCTTGATCTTGAATTGGTGGAAGTTCTTCAAGAGGGGCGTTAGGGCTTGATCTTGAAGGAGGATTTCACGAAGAACGAAGAGGGCTTTCTTGATCCTTCGGGATTTGCTTGAGAGCTTCAGAGTTTCGAGGCTTCAAGGCTTTGGTGTGGAGTGAATTCTCTTCCAATTTGGGAGTAGAGAAAATGTATGCCAAAATCCTCCCTTGATTCTTTGATGGAGGAGCCTATTTATAGGCTTTGGGAATGAATCACCACCATCCATTTGTTTTGGTGGATGTTGTAGGTGAATTTGGGTGGATGTTGTAGGTGAATTTGGTGGGTGTTGTAGGTGAAACTTGGGTGGATGTTGTAGGTGAAGTGAATGAATGTTGTAATTTTAATACAATGGTCAACATTTATTACACTAAAATCTCAATGTTTACAAATGTAATCTTAATGCAATGACTAACATTTATGCCACCGAAATTTCAATGTCTACAAATGCCCCCACTTCAAGGTGCGTTGTATACATGTGCTTGTTACATGTAGAAGATGCGTTTTGAAGTCCCTTAATGCAGTCGTCGACCCAAGGGCCGTTGAGGCTTGATCTTGAACTGGTCTGGGAGTTTCTTCAAGTGCCGTTAAGGCTTGTTCTTGAATTTTGTTTGAAATTTCTTCAAGGGCCGTTGAGGCTTAATCTTGGATGAAATTGGACCACAAGGAGCTTCGTGAAGTAGACAATCCTTGGCTTTGATAATGGATGACTCGGCACGTATTTTGTTGTGCTTGTTGACTTTCCACAGCTTTGATCTTGAACTAGGCTGGAGGAGTTTTCTGGTTGCCTCCAAAGGACTTTCCACAGACTTAATCTTGAACTGGATTTGACTCAAGGGTGGTGGATACTTGATCTTAAGTCAGGGTCGTTGAGGCTTGATTTCGAACTTAAACATGACCGCGAGCAGTTTCAGGACATGCATGCTTTGAAAGATCAAGGAAGTTCGCAGCATTTTCATATGAACCCTGAGCAGTTTGGTCAACAGTATGATCTTCAAGATCGATGGGCTCTTCTTCCAGTTGGTGACTTGATCTTTAAGGATTAGCGAGACTTTGCTCTTCGGTGACAGTGCCAGCGAAAGGTCGTTAAAGCTTCTCGAGCCTTTTGGGTTAGAGCAACGGTGTCCAGCTTGGATCTTTACTTGAACTCCTCCGTCTGGATGATGTGGTCATGCAGGGAAGGGCTTGGTGCTTCATGATTTGTTCCAGCTCGTTGTGTTGCATTCTTCTCTGCTTATTTCTTTTGCATGGCTGAAGCGATGTGCAACCTTTTGCCTTTAAATGGTTCCTCGGAGCACCACCTCTCAGCGACTCACTCATGCTTGGCAGCTTCAGTGCAAAGAGCCGATGTCAACAGATCCACACTCTTGAAGCATTTGCTGAGGGAATTCGAGACATATTAGCAGTTGAAGATGAGCACTCGAGAGCAACGCTAGGTAAGTAACCAGGCAAAGGTTCCGGGCAATCAGTTCCTGGTCGGACATTTAATTTCAGGTTCCGACTGATTGCTTCCTTTCCCCTTGTTCTGCAGGCAAGAGCAAGGGCAGAGGAGAAGATGGGGGAAGAGCATGATATGAGATACCTTTGCTTTCGACCCCAGTGATATGAGATACTTTTGCTTTTGAAGAAGTAGCGGACGATCAGCACATGCATTCGTCGCGCCTGTCTCCATATGCTTCGATGCATCATCTTCATCTGCATCATCTTCACCTGCATCATCTGTTTTCCAGGCAGACGTGATAGACGAAGAGGAAGCAGAAGATGTTGACGATGCGTATTCGAGAGCATGGCTAGGTGAGCAATCAGGAAAGGTTCCGAGCAGTCGGTTCCTTACCAGGAGCTTGAGTGGAGGTTCCGACATATTGCTTTCTTTATCCTTGTCTTCGTAGTGAAGAGGGAGGACAAAGAAAAGGATAGGGAGAAAGCATGCTATGAGATACTCTTGCTCTCAACCCCAGTGATATGAGATACCTTTACTCTGGTGTGGCTTGGTTGAAGAGGCGCTTCCAGGGAGGAAGAAAACTGAATTTTGGTTGCAGATGCCCTTGGTGAGGAAGAAAGGTCAGGCTGGATGTGTTTTCAGGGAGGAAGAAAACTGAGTTTTGGTTGCAAATGTCTTCGGCAAGGAAGAAAGGTCAGGCTGGATGTGTTTTCAGGGAGGAAGAAAACTGAGTTTTGGTTGCAGATGCCTTCGGCAAGGAAGATGAGTCAAGCTAGATGTGTGTCTTGCTATAGGATGGAGGTCGAATTATATGGTGAGCTCTCAACATCAAGTGGTAGGGTGAGCGTGGCCTTGTCACCCACGCTTGTCGGCAGAAGTGCGGTAGTTGGCGTAATGGACCTCACACGTCTTCAACTTTGTCAGTGATATCTGACGAAGTTGCACGTGATAGCCGAAAGCTGAGATTGTGTCTGAAAAGTGTCGACGGACTTTACGCAGAAAAATCCGGGTTTTGAAATTCGGAGAGTGGTGTTTCTTCGATTTACGAACGAATGGTTGTGCTGCCTCTCCTTTTAAAGAGGTGTCAATTGTATTCAACACGCACAATTTGAAGATTGCCTGTCCGTGAAAAATTATCTCTACTACTCTTTACTTCATCCAACCTTTTTCTTTTAGTATTTTTTGAAAATGACTTCCCCTTTTAACATTTGCTTAGATTTGAGTCTTAGCAGCGACACAGGTGCACCGCGTCAGGGTAATGTATGGCGCCCGTC